GGTGTAGAAATGGCATGGTGCTGCCCCTACTTCAGAATCAGAGATTGCTCAGGATAGCTAGTTGAGTACAGGTAGCCTTGAATGGTGCCCAGTGTCCCCAGAATGATCTGTAACAGCAAAGAAGGGGTACCCAGACAGTATGCCACAGTGGTAGGTATTCTGTCTTATGGAATCAAAAGTGCTTGCTTATCCTGGAAACATCTCCCTGGAGAATCCACTTGGCAATTTTCCTGCACCTGGCTCTGTGTCTTTGTATGTACTTATAGGATTCAACCCCTTGATACTTAGAGGGGTTTCATTTGTTTGTGTAATTACACTAGTGTTTAGCTATATGATTTTAATTCAAGATTTTGGGTTTCCTTTGTAGTTGAGTGCACAGTGAAATTTCCTAAAAGGAATTAAGTGCCAGTAGCTCTGTTTATTGTTCTAAAGGCTCTCAGATGAAACACTGTATTGCATGATACAAATGGCATGCTCAGCATCTCCATGCTGCCTTATCTGGTGAAGAGCACTAGTACTAGAGACAAACTGAGGGGTTTCAAATCCCAGGGCTGTCAGTCATTTGTTGTGCCAGCTCAGGGAGATTGTTTAACTTCTCTCTGCCTCAGTTTCCACATTTGAAACTTGAGAAAGGATTATACCTAATGCACTCATAGGAGGCAGTGTGAAGATTAAATAAGGCATGCACAATGCTAGGAGCAGTGTCTGAAAACATAGTGCATGCTTCGTAAATGTTAGTAACCCTCAAAGTTCTCTATTGTTTCTATACACCAGTGGGAAGGGATTATCTCTTCCCTAGTTCAGTGTTACTAAAAGCTGGCTAGTCTTTAAAAAATGTCACCTTTTTTCTGAATTAATGAAATGTTGGTTCTAAATAATTTTAGTTAAATTTCAGAAGAAAAACACCTTGAGATCCCTTTGTTAACCTTTTTCAGATATTTTTCTAGTCTTTCCTTCTGTTTCTATATATGTATATTTTACATAATTAAAATCACATTGCATATCTAGTTTGTACCCTCTTTTCACAGTGTGTCAAACATTCTCCAGGTACTTGTAGTATTTTAAAAACATTGTTAATGGCTATAAAGTATTCCAAAACATGAATGTATATGTAGTCATTCCCTTGTTGAAAGGCACTTAGATTGTTGGTAGTTATTCCTTGTTATGACTAATGCTAAGGAAAGATCCTGGCATATAGGTTTTTGTATTTCTTATGATTGCTTTATGGTAGCTTTCCAGCAGTAGTCACTAGCTAAGTGTAAACATTTTTACAAATCGTACTGCATCTTGCCTGATGACTTTTCATTAAGCTTCTTAACAATTTCTGCTCTCAATTTTCAATTGGTCAGCAGTCTGTGAAAGTTCCTGTGAAATCTACCCCTTACCAAGCTATCTAGGTGCTTAGAGGAAAGGGTGGGGCTGGCTGGGCCCCCCAAAGGCTCTTTCGCAGCGAAGCTGCTCTCACCTGCTTTTGCACTGCTTTACATCTTGTGAAGAAAACTGAGTATGTTAAAAAGTGAATGGGTAATTTGGGATTACAGGTTTACAGACTGTTTTTCTTATTAAGCATCTCTGTTCCTATGCCAGAGGCACTAACAGCTTCTGGCATTGTGTGGGAATAGCCTCTAACTGGGGAAAGTGAGGACTTCTGCAGTTAGGCCTGAAGTCTTGCAGATGGTTCCCTTGACCTGAAGCATGGAGCCGGTGGGAAGGACGGGTGGGAAGGGCCAGCTGGGATTCGGCTTGGTCTGAATCCTCGCGCGAGCTTGGATATCTTGTCCAACTTGGATCTGTTTCCTTACCTTTAAAATATGCGTTCTCATATATCTCCTTGCAGAATTTTCATGATGACTAGAGAAAGTAATGTTTGTGTGGTGCGGTGTTTGGTAAAATGGTGGCTTTAATAAAAATTGTCTCATGAAGTGACATAGCTTCCATGTTTGTGACTAACTGGACCTAGGAGTTTTGGGGCAGATACATGCCATGCTTTTGCCCTGAGTTGGTCTTGATTCAAAGTTATGGGACTGGTGATATGGAGGTGTGTGTGGGGAGGGTAAAGTGTAGAACCTCTTCAGTGGGAGACTCGATTAAATGAAGTTCTGTTACACCGGTGATTGGAGTGGCCGTTCCCTTCCAGCTATTAAGTACCTACCTGTCCAGGTGCTGCGTCGGCTCTTGGTCTCCACGAGCTTACTTACTCCTTAGACATACCTGGTGAGGCGGGTACTGCCGTGGAGGGGTCCCCTCACTTGGGTTGTCAGATTTAACAAATAAAAATACAGGAAAATTGCATGGGACATACTTATACTAAAAATGTTTGCCATTTATCTGAAATTCACATTTAACTGGGCATCCTATTTTATCTGGCCACCTACTCCTAACTTCCCATGATCCTGCAGTGAGCAAAGGAGAAAGCCGAGGCTTGGACTTTCCTCCATCTGACTCGGAAGCCCACGCTGTGACCTGTTACTCTGTGATACTTCTTTAAGAAATCAGAAGTAGAAGTCAGGTGTGAGAGGTGAGGAAATGCTGTCAGATAGCTTAAAGTCCTTTACCTGTAAACTTCGAAGCTGACCTTGGAGGCATGGTTCCCTATATTTCACCTGTTTGGAAAGATAATTCCATATTATGTCTAATTTAAAACTGGAGAAAGGTAATGCGGGTTTCTAAGGTATGTAATGTATATACCAAGTCCTGTGCTCGAACTAATCTGGAAAAGTCCAATCTTTTCAAATGAAGGTTTCATGTAAGAAGTTAAGGCTTCTGAAGCTATAGAGTTGTTGAGGTGACCTGTCAGAGCAGCATCACTGCCCACCAAAGTCTGTCAGCCTAGACTTGACATTACGTGGGATGTTCTGTTGGCAAAATCCTGGGGGTTAGTCAGGGGCCATGTGTCACCCATCCAGTACCTCTGTCAACCTTAGTATAGGTACACTGGGCTCCGAAAACCCTTGAATGTTCTTTGATGGTCCAATGCATACTCATGGGCTATGCCTACTCTTTAAAAGCCCACCCACCTGCCCTGTGGAGCTGCTGTGTGCTCCCCCTGGGTGTGGCTTGGCCTTTGAAGGTGCCCCATTCAAGATGAATCTGAGGCAGGGCCAATCCTACAGCATTGGGCTCCATATCAGACCGTCATGCCAATCTTCTCAGGGAGGAGCCTGGGCGAGTTTTCAGGATGAGCTGGGTGAAGCCCTTGGAAGGAGGAGCCCCTTGTGCATGAGGAGCGTGAGCGGCAGTCTGCTCCTGTCTCTCTCCCGATTCCTTCGTGTTGCCGTCACAGTAACGTGGACGGAGATCTTTGAAAGGAAAGGGGAGGGGAGGTTTTCCAAACTTTCGTTTCCATCTTTTTCTGGATTGAGTGGGAAATTTACACAAAAATTCTTTTTGCTTTTTGGGTATTGTTGATTCTAGGAAGTTGAAGGAACTAGAAATCCATCACTTGGCACCAATTTTGTGTTATGGGAACACTGTTGCCTTGTTGTGTAAGATTATCTGGGAGTATTAATCATTTGAATAATTTAACAGGAGTGGGTAGTTCTGAGATACCTCAAGTTTTGGGGTGCCACTCTGTGTTCAAAGTACTGATCAGTTCAGATTAAACAATGAAGTCCACTGCTTTTCTGGGTTGATGTAAAGGATTTCAAAACTAATAACGATAGTGCAATAATGGTAATATAAAATAATTGTGGTTCTGACCACTTTATGTGTATTAAATTAATTCTTGCAAGAACACTTTGAAGTGGAAACTCTTATGCCCATTGCACAAATAAGGAAACAAAGGGGCAGAGAATTTAACTTGCCTAAGGTCACACACACGGTTGGTGGCATAAGCAGGATTTGAACCCAGACAGATGAGTTCCTAACGTCTTAACTGCTATTTTGTATAGTTGTGTACATATATGTATGTTAGGGACAATCTTGCAAGAAGGATATTCTGTTTGTGTACCTCCCATCACACCACTGGAATTTAAATTTCTCAAGAGTATTTAAGAGTACATGATGGGGTTTGCAAATTGGCTGAGGGGTGTGCCACTTGGGAGACACATGAATGGGAATTGGGGTAGACTTAACTGGGAAAAGCTGGGTAGGTCGGCAGGCTGTGCTGGGTGGTCCCGATGGGAAATGGAGTAGAGGAATTCATGTTGGCATGTACACAGTGGGAGGTGCTGGGAGTCTCAGGGGCTACAGCTGAAACTGGGGAGAAGAAAATGGCAAGAGGGTTTGATATTAGAGAATTCTGAGATTAGGGGAGTTGATGCTTAGGATGGAGTGACCTAGTTACAACTCTTAGCTGTAGACTAGTAGTAAATTGCTTGTGAAAAATCTTCCTCTTGGTCTGTCTACTTATCATCTATAAAGAAGTTGATTAAAGCATGCAAATAACGTTGACATGTACTTTTAGGAAAACTGTAGTCTAATAATGTGCTTGCTCATTCACTAAACACTGTTTTTTTCAGACCCATTCATACTGCTTACCTTGCCCATAAGGCTGTGATTTTACCTGAGAAGTAGCCCCTCACTTCCTGTGTTTTGAAACTGTAATCTCATTCATTCTAAGTTGGAAACATTCCAGTCTTTTCTGTGATCACTGCTGTGTTTGTGGAACCAGGACAAAAATCAAGGAAAAGCTTCAACACTGTCAGTTTATACGTGCCTAACCTGATCAGCCCAAAAGTATTGTACTGTGTGAAGGACTACCCGTGGCTTCTTTTTTAATGGATTGTTTTTGCCTCAAATGGAGTGATGTTTGCTTCCCGAGAGTGTGCGTGTCTCTGTGTGTGTGCATGTTCATTTTCTGCATTCAGCCTGCGTCACTACCATGGCAATCAGTGTTTCTCAGTGGCCTCTGTAGGTGAGGAGGGTTCTTTGATGGTTAAAGACCTCCACTTCCCAGATATTAAATGTGCATAATGCCTTGAGGGCTTTAAGCACTATGCTAAGCATGCATGTCTCATACCCAGAGTAGCCACAGCGCCTGCATTCCTGCAATAGCGGCAGCCCTGAGCAGATGCTGCCAGTGCTCTTGTCTGCCTGTGCTTTTCACTTTGGGACAAAGTTCTATAATCATATCTCATGGATTTGTTTTCTCCACACTATAAAGGCTGAATTGTGAAGATCTCATCATGCCATAAAGGGCAGCTAAGCCATGGTCTTGGGGCTGCTAAAGATTTCTTTGCCTTTTTTCTTTTCCTTTTTTCGAGATGTATATCAGGAAAAGGCTTTGCCTTTAGAGAGAAATTTTACTGCACTTGCTAATAATGTATAATAATATAAAATTTAATGGCAGACCTTGAAGTGTATAAAAACTTAAGTCCAGAAAAAGGTAAGAGTTATACTACTAATTTTAAGGTAAGTGTAATGGTCCTAGAAAAAGATGGTATACATTTCTTATTTTATTTCATGTTTAGTTAAGTTTAAAGATTCATTTAACTCTTGACAGTATGTTTGAGATATTTCAGTATGAGATGAAAAGGTAATAAAGTGGGGCTGTTTTTTCTTGCAAATGTGTACTTTTGTAATGGTAGAGTTTGCATGCTAATGAATTGGAAGTACATTATTAGAATAAAATGGTCAGTGACAAAACCATTTATATTCTTAGGCTACAAGTCAAGGATACAGACATGCTTAAAAATTTCATTTGTCTGACACTTACAGTGGGTTTTAATTTGAACATTATCAAGTCTTATTCAGTTTGAATAATGATGAATAAAGGTATTTTAACTTTACATTAAAATGGACAGAATGATTCCCAGTTTGTATCAATTAAAAATTGTACAGTGAAAATAATTAGCTTTGTACAATGAAGTGGTATAACTATTTAGCATAGATAAAATGGAGGCAGAATCCATGTATCATGTTCTTAGAGCCTGTCAGGTCCAGTAGCATGAGAGAAACACTTGAAAGTATGAGTTAGGGAGATCAGGAATTTAAAATATATAGAGATTGTTCTTGTATTGTAAGAAATGTTCCTGTGTGGTTAGACGAGTAAATGATATGTCAAGAAATGTTTTCTAGAGTTATTTGCAAACTGAGATACTTATGTTATTTCAGATTATTCATGTGTGTCCACTCAAATATAACGTCGTTGTGTCAGTGCTCCATCTGAGAGCCTGTCTTATGATCGCTGCTACTTTGCAGTATTGACTTTGATGTGCCATGTTCACTGTAGCAGCATTGATGCTTGCTTTTTATTCAAAATGTAAATTAGACCATGGTTGACACTTCCTGAGTATAACTGAATTTTCTAAGCCTCGGGAAGGGCCTTTTAACAAAAATAGGGCAGGATTTGGTTAACTCAATATGCAGTTTGTCAGAAAGATTTTCCATTTTGAGTTTTGTCTTTTAATATGTTTGGAAACTCTTTTGTATGCCGAATGTAGGAATAAATTGAATTGCATAGCGTACTCTCAGGATTGTCTTGCATAATATACATCATGGAAGTAGTGGTGAAAGTGACAGAAGTCACTTTTACCATATAAAATAATCTTTAAACTTAAAGTTATACTTTAATTATTACTCATTGTGGAAATCTGAATGCATTTATCTAGTCATACAAGCTTTTAATGTTGACAAATGTAAGTTGTCTTGTTTCAAGGTAGATGTCTTCACATACAGATGGTCTTACTAGAGGTTTTTTTAAATAAGCACATATCTCATACTTAACAGATTTTCTGTTATCTATTTTAATAATGCATTTTGCTGAGTGAAAAATTTACTGGCTGTACATCTTAGTATTAAATTTATAAATCTTAGTGGGTAGCAAGACTATTTTTAAATACATTTTTTTCTGAATTCCAGGTCAGTTTTAAGAGGAACATCTTAAATTATACAGATGAACTCTATTTTAAAGTGTGTGAAATTAATAGATTCTGAATTTGTATGAAACAGTAATGTGAGTGGAAGTGGTTTCAATTGATGGGAATGCAAAGTTGAAAAATGTTCGTTCAGACCCAAGAGAAGAAACCTGAGTTTTGATGGTATATCCTTAGTCTTAAAGTGTGTATTAAGTATATGAAGTATAAAACTCATGTTTGCTCCTACATCTTGTATTTATACATATACTTAGGAAATTATGATTATGATCATTGGCCTTAAAATTTAATGTGATATACTAAACATCTGAGTTAGAGAGTCATTGCAGTGATTCTTAAAACAACACTATGTAGGGGACTTGAACTGCAGCATAAAAACAGAAGTCAGTGCAAGCTTCAGGCATGTAAGGCAAGTGTTTTCATAATCTTTTAATGTCTGTGAACCCCAGCTTCCTTTTTAGTAACTAGAGATAAAATTACTTTCTTGCTGACTTTGCAATTTTGCTGTAAGAATTACTGGCATAATGTCTCTGAAAGCATTTGGGATATGGAAATGGGCTACAGAAATGTTATAGGATATGATCATAGAAATAAAGATAATGCACATTTCCTTTACTTTAACTGAAAAGCCATTGTATTTATTTTGGAATGCAAATAAAAAACACTTTGACCTGGAACTTTGGTAGCTCTGCTACTAATTTTCCTCTTGGCTTAGTGTGACCGATATGCCAGCAGTGTGCGCAGTGTGTAGGCATGCCTTATGGAGGGGGCTGATGTCAGTGCAGGAGTGAGTAGTCCTAGCTTTCTAGATATGGAAGAAGCCATAGCAATTTCACTCTGTTTTAAGGAGAGAAAACAGGCTGTAAAATTTTCTCCAAGACGTGGAGTAGACCTGTGGCTGGAATCAGTACTCCGGTTTCCAGATCAGTACTCTTCTCAGTTATGCAGATTTTTGCTTCTTCGAGGTGCTAAACATTTAGATACTTGTGATTTCTCTTATTGTGCCATTTATTATTTATCCAAGGCCATGTTTAGGGAGGGGAAAATTGAGAGTTGCCTGTTGAATCCTTTGCTGCTAGTGGTGCAATCAAAGATAACATTGAATGCTTTATATACACGTGTTGGTTGGGGCTTTGAAGATGAGAAGTATTAACCTCCTTGTCAATAACTCATGATACAGTGTGGAGGCAGGCTTATATCACTAAGTATGGTAGCACTGTGACAGAGAAGCATTCTGGTGGGACCGTGAATGTGGAGAAGTCAGCAAAGGATTTCTAGTGATGACATTTGAAATGAGCTTTGAATAAGAAGGATTACAGTAGGTGGATAAGCAAGGATTGAAGATGAAGAAGTAGTCAAGGGCCAGTTGTTATCATAAAGACCTCATATAATGCAGATTAAGAAATGTGGACATTATCACCTCCCCTTTCCCAAAAAGCAGAAGGCTTTAAGATGGAGAAAGATGAATCCGATTCAAATTTTAGAAAGATCTCTCTGACAATGGTTAGCAAATTGAGGGGAGAGGTGAGGCTGGAACACGAGACCAGAAGCCTCTTGCAATAAATAAGTGAAATACAATAGTCCCAACTCATTTCTTAGCTGACATAGATCTTTCATGAGAAAACACAGCACTCTCAAGTCCACATTTGCCCCTGATCGAAGCTATGCTAGAATTCACATACTTTTTCCTCAGCATATACTTTTTAATCCAGTCACTGTTTTGTAGTTGAGGTAAATAAGCTGCAAGTAGGTGATTACCTGATATGAAATAAAAAATTTCTGCTCTATTAGACAGATTGTGCTTAGTTATGAGTATTTCTTTTTCTTTTACAGAGAACAAAAATTATTTCCACAGGAAGCTCAGATTATCCCAACTCAGCCTTTTTTTTAGGTTATGGTACATTTGTTGAAATGTTGTCATGTTGCTTGCATCATCAGTCCAAATATAACAAATCTCATCTCTCCAGTGACCGGTAAGGAACCATAAAGTGATACGAAAAAATGGCTATTTCCCTTTAATGAAAAAGATGATGCCCAGGATACTGTATACTTTATTCTGTTCCACAGATCCATTGGTTCAGAACTAGATTGTTAGGGCAAGTTCTCCATCATTGTTCCTATTCATAACTGTTTGGCTCTTTTCATGTATTTTCTGGTCTGGATAGATTTTAGAAATAGCCTGTCTAGTCCCAAAAGTAATCTAGTCCCCTGAGTAGGGATTTTTGATTGGAATTGCATTGAATTTATAGAATAGCTGAGCAGCACTGACTTCAAGACACTGAGGCCTCCCTTTCAGGAACATAGAATTCACCATATTTGAGGTCTTCCTTTATGTCAGAAAAGATCCAGAGTTTTCTTGCTGTAAGATATGCACATTTCTTACTAGGTTTATTTTTGTGGTTTTAGTTGGTGTTGTGCTTAGTTTTTTTTCAGTTACATTTTCTTTTAAAAACAGTTGAAAATTTTAAGTACGGTAGTATCGAAGAACTAGAACAATAAGTATGGTCCCTCTTTCAGCCCTCTTCACCTCTTTGCTAAATAAGCTATTTTTAATTCTCTTTTTAGGATTTTAGTGTTATTTTGATATCTCTAAATGATGCACTTATACTGCTACCTACTGGCGTTTCAATTTTTGATATTATCTATTGATTTTCTCTATGGAAGATGAGGAATTAACCCACTTACACTGCTCCCCCCTCCATCTCTCAGTGACTCCATGGGTTGGCTACCTTTGTACCTTTAGTAATTTGCTTACACTTTTGCTTTTTGCTCTGCCAAATACAAATACTCCACCTAGTGACCACAGCACTCGCCTTGCCCTCACTTACCCGTCCTTAATTCTGTCTGATGTAATTTTCCCACTCTTTTTCTGTACTTATAATTACTCCATGTTTTGATCATAGGTTGTTTTTAAATGTTTAATATCAATAAGCAAAGTTTACATACTATGACTACATAAAATTGCATGAGAGCAAAGTAATCATTCAAGTCAATCTTAATTAAGGATATTGCTTCAGAAGATGATATCTGAGGAAAAGGAAAGATTCTGGAGATTTCTATATCAGATGGTGGCATTAAGCTTATTAAAAAAAGTCTCCAATAATTTTGACAATTAGCAATCTTCATCATAACTCAGTGAGGTGAGTGTAGTTATCTCTATTTTTGGGATGAGGAACCTGAGGCCCAGAGAGAGTAAAATAACTTCCCTAGGTCATACTGTCATTGGTAGAGCTAACATTTGAATCCCGTTGGCTGACTTTGGAGCCTAGACTTGCAGCCATGTCCCCTTGCTTAATGCTATTGTTGCTTTCTTGGAGGTAGTAAGATATATAAGCAGGACTCAATTCATTGCCTTCTCTGTATTAAAAAAAACCAAAACCCCTACCATCTCTATAAAGACATTTCAACTTAGCTTCTGCTTTCTGCATATGCCTTTCTGCAGCTGACAGGTTGGCCTGACTTTCCCTTGAGTAAATGGACCTGCCAATGAGTACTTCTGGAGTGAGAGACA